AGTAAATTAAAACCACTTACCGAAGTATTGTTTACGTTATAAATATTTTTAAGTAACCACTTTCTCTAAAGAAATGTTACATTTTGATGTTCTTTATAACATAAGTCAGACTTCTTACGTTAATAACTTTGTACTTATGGTGTTCCTTAGAACATAAGTCCAGTTATGTTTTTTAGTTCGTTTGATTATATTAGGATTTCTTAAGGTTGATACAGAACGCCGCTTGAATACGCCATGAAATACTTGAGTTTCATTTATGTGCTTTAGTCAGATTGTGTGTTGAGCAAAATGTAAACCGATGATGTAATAAAAAATAAACTGAAAATTTTGACTTATGTGCTTTAGTCTGCCGACCCTAGAAATGATAACATAAGTTTTTGAGCCATAACAAGTAATTTTCCATAATTGGCTGAAATAAACTAATACTGACGCACCTACTTCACATTGGTATAATATGAAATTGTTAAGGTTGTCATAGGATATAATAATAATTAATTCTATACTATTGCTGTGGATTCTTACCTATCGTCATAGATTGGGGAAACGTCGCCTGATGCACCTTGAGACATGTCACCGTCCATTTTGGACCGGATACTGGAAAGTTAAACGCGAGGCTGCCAGTAAACGAGGACGAGAATTCGGCCAAGCGGCGTTACCGGTACGGAAAAGTGAACACACGGAAAAGACCGGTGCGCGCGTATAGCGAGTACTGAACGGAATGCGCGCCAAGAGCTAGCTAACTCGCGTCGTCGCCTGTCGGCCAGTTGCACGCGTGCGGGACGAAGAGACGGGCGGGGTGCGGGTGGCGGAATGCTTTCGGTGCGGGGCTCTCAATGCTCCACACCCGCCCGCGCATCTTCAAGGCAACGCCAGGGCAAGGGAGTCAGCGTCCGATCACCAATGCCGAGCACAATGCACACAAGGACCGGGGTGCACGTGCTATCCTATAGTTTTCGATTCTTCTTAACATACATGTTATTGTATATACCTACCAATTGTATACACCCGTATTTTGTTTGTTTCTGTACCTAGTTTTATAGTTTTTAAGTTCCTATTATGCCGATAAATTAAGGCATTCCCAAAATAGTACACTGATGTGGCTGTGCCCCTGGCATTGCTGAAGTCCGCGAAGTTTACCAAGGCAAAAAAGTCTAACAGGAGTCCTTTCCAACTCAGCGGCTCCTTTGCACACTGTGACATTGAACCTCCCCTTCGTGCTGATAGCTGAACATTGAATACTTAGGGCGCGGTCTAGTCGCGAATTAGAATAAGTTGTGATTCCAATCATCGCCCTTTTGTGAATTAAATAATTTAATGGTATTCATTTATAAAGGTTGTATTTGGCGCGAAGGTGCGCTGGCATCATTTGGATGCAATCATGCATCTTTTTCGACATAACATATAGGTATACGTCAGTCATCCTAGATTTAGTTGACATCCCCTACGACTACACATAGTGGAATAATATTAGCTGTTTATTTCCACTATGTTACTCATGTGGTACTTAACTAGAATCTGCGATTACATACTCCTACAAAAATAAATAAATTGAGCAAAAAACATCTTTCCGTGATTCAATTCACATTACAATTTTTCATGTTACACGTGAAACACGAATTATGTCGAATCGATTTTAGACATCGTTTTTGTTTAAAATATTTTAATTGATCTTCTTATAATTAAATGCTTAAAAATTCATATTTTTTAAAAAAAAATTATAAATTTATAATTTTTTTTTTATAAAAATTAAATAAGTGACACATATGTACACATAATATAATAAATAATAGCACATAGAAATATATTTGTAAAACGTTTATATTCTCAAGATAATTTTGAGTCAGCACGAACGACGAAACTCGTGACTTATTATAGTTATTTACACTGAAATTTCACTAAATTCGCTTTGAACTTTCTTGGTTTCTTGAATCTTTGTCGGTTCTGCTTTGTTAGAAACTACTAAGTTCATTCGCAATAACTAAGTAAAATTACCTGAGGCTGTCAACAAAGTTCAGAGCTTTGCTTTTGATCATCGCTTACCAACTGGTATGTAATGAAAATAAACTCTAGATACATTATAAATTCACTACCACCGGATCGGAAACGCGACCCACTGAGAAGATCCGGTGAGAAACTCAGTGGGCTGTCTATGGGTTAATTTACTCGTCGAGCTCTTCGTCGCAAGTGACGGGTTCGGCGAGGACGGTGACCGGTGCTTGAGGTACCTAATACCACCGTTAATGGATCGGGATGATCCGTAATGACGTGCTTAGGGCGATGTCGGCTCATAGCCCAGCTGGTGCTGGCTGGCGACTGTCGGTCCGGTGGTGGGGCGGTGCAAGGTGGCTCCTGTGCGCCGCCCACGGTGTGTCTCCCGAGAGGACGTCCGGACGGATATTCCCGGAGATGAAATCCCGTCTTATCATCAGGACGGGTAGCGGCGAAGGCGGACTTTCGGCGCGCACTGCGGTACCGTAGGTCTGGTGTAGCCGGTGTGGTGGAGCTCGATGGGGTTTAGTCGGTAGTTGGTTTTGCAGGGCGAGCGCCTCGCGCGCCTTTTTCAAGGCGTAGTCTCCTGCGAGGAATTCGGGGAGGTGGAGGACCTTAGCCCTCCTTGTCCCCCTCTTCCTCTCAGGAGGCGCCGGAGTCCAACATAACCCGGTTCGTTACCCCCCGGACCGGGTATTCGTAAATGGATTCCCCAACGTTAAAAAAAAAAAGGGTCGTGGTACGTGTGCGAGCTCACAAGACGTCCTAACAATAAAAAATACATAATTACGAAATTTTGTGGGTATAATTTTTATTACATAACGTTATACATCGTCGTGAAATTGTTTTGATTATGACGTATTTCATTAGAAAATTGGTACATTTGTACTTGCACGATTCAAAACTGGCATATTGGCATATTTGCATAGCTCGATAAGAGTACAGCGTGTGTCTTATCCTGTAGGGCACAAATATCTCATTTCACATTGTAAGCAAGCTAAGCTTTCGCACGTAACTCTTTTTGCTCCGAACGGAAATCACGCTATCAAAAACTTCCTCGAGTGACATTTTAAAGTCTTTACAAAACAGAGTAGGTATTTGTTTATTTTATTAATTTTGTCATTTCGATAAGGCAAATCATTCGCTGAGTACTCGTTGTTTGATTATAAATCATTTTCATGTGATCAATAGATCCTCAAATATTGCAGGACTCTGGCCGGTGAAAGAACTGTTTTCCGCTCCTGTTAGTGGACATTAACTACATCCCCTGGTCACCGTCGAGCCCCATTTAGCCAACCAACCATACGGGCTGTTCATTACTACAATAGAAACAAATCCTTCAACTTCGTCGGTTTTTATTATTTCGGACTGTTATGGGAATTCTCTCTGAGGTCGTTTTAAAAAAGGAAAATTCTTAGGACACAACTATTTATTGGATATTGAATAATATGGATAATGACACTCAGAGTAATCCCGGCAGCCGCACCCGTACTCTAACACAGTTCACTGACTACTGACCGTTCTCCGGTCTCCTATCAAGTCTCTACCTCGGACCGTCTAGTCAGCGGTTCGAGGGTGTCAGCAGTTTAGGGTTCGGTAGGGATATATAACAGTTCCCCCCATATTTAATAAACTTCGGGAAAGAGTCCGAAGTTTATTTTATAAGTGACGTCTGACAGAAGCTGGGGCTACCTCAGGGATATCAGCATATTCAACTTCTTCTATAGTAGCGGGCTTACTTTTAAATCTCATGCGTTTGAAAAGATCTATATCTTTAGGTGTGCTGCCAGGTTTACATTTTACATACAACTTAAAAGCTAAATAACTAAATAGACATATAAGTAAAAGGATAGTCACTGTAGAGTAATGTATTCCGTACTTAACTATGTGTGGCGTATGAATGACGTCATCGGCACCACTTAATATGGAATCGAGGATCATCTCATTATTTTTTAAGGATAGGTCATCTAAATCAATGTTCTTTAAAACCACAGGAGTAGGGGATACACTATCTATAAAGTTCTTAATCTTATTAGTATTACAACATGACTTATTATTTATGTTAAAATCTAAAGTATATTCTGTAATTGTTATGTTATTAACATATTTAGATATAAACTTAATGTCCTTAGTATAACCGGTACATCCGTGAGGGATGTTTAATATACCAGTTCCTATGATGTTAAATTCATACAATTCAGATTTGGGACAATCAACGCTTACTTTAGTTAGATTGGATTGCACGAAGATCCATCGGTTATTAGAAATCGTTTGCCAAACATTAACACTTCCGTAAATGAATTTGTTATTGCACTGCACTGGTAAATCACTGGTCACTTTTATCATCAGTTCCACTTCACAGCTAGGGTTGATGCTCGTCGGATATATGGTCACTATGTCACAGATGTAAAGTTCGGTATGCAATATTTTACATACATTTAGGTCGTCCAAAGTGCAGTAACGTGTTTTGTCTCTGGTCATTGCTATATATTTGCTACTTGGTATTAACATAGAATACATTCTTGGATTTTGAGCCTCATGTGGCGTTGGTAATGCTAAAGCATGATATAAATTATACACAATAGGACATACTAAAGGAATTCTTAAGACAAAAATTATTCTATTCTTACTAAAATAACTAACTACATTAGAAACATTCATAATAACGTGCATCGAGCTTATCTCTAAAGGTACGGGGAATTGTTTATCATCATCCAAGAGTCGAACATTGTTGGCGAGTTCATGGAACAATTGTCGTGGTGTTATTATTGAAGGATGAAGTATATTTTGACTGCTGAATAAGATAGCATTTATTATGTCTTCGAGTTGAAAAGATATGGCAAGAATATTGGTTTCTAAATAATGTATGACTTGGTTAGCGGATGATAGGATATACAATTCGTTAGATGCACTAGAAATATTCTTAACATGTTCTGACAAATTATTAATAGCGGTGTTCAAATTAGCTTCATTAATTTTAATATTATTAATTGTTTTATTGTACGACGAGATGACTGAAGTAGTAACCATAACATTTTCCTTAATTAATGTAGCTACTTTGTTTTGATCATATTGTATTGCATCAATTGCTTCATCGTATCTAAGGCCATCGGTCTCGTCCAAGTTTCCGAATATGTGTTTAATTACTGTCCCGACTCCTCCGAACCAAGCACTACGTTTTGCTTTAGTATCTAACAACTCAGATATGGATGTGAATTGACGGATAATATCGTGATATCGTATTACTAAGGGTTGAGTTATACTATGACATTCCAAATTTTCTATGACGTTAGTCTCGAGACACAGCGCTCGTGCTTTATTGATAGCATTTTCGATATTTTCTAAGTATGGTTTGAAATGTGATATATCTAATGGTATAAGTATATTAAGTTGGCCGCTGGATATTTTGATTTGACCCAAACTGTCCAAATATAGTCCGGAGCTTGCATTGATTTGTTGTACAAATTCTTGTTGGATTTGACTCTTAGCTGACATGCTGGAAATGATATTATATAATGAGAACAAGGATTTCTTATTTTACGAATTAAATTTTCTAAAAGTTATTTAAAAGACTATGAGATTAACTAGATAGGTATACGCTTAATCCTAATAGTATATTATTTAAAGATATTATGTTATTTAGCCTAAATCTATTACTTTAGCGAATAGTTATAATTATACGTTTTCATTCAAAGTCGCGGGCTTAATTTCATCGTAATGGTGTCGCACGTGACGACGGTTTATCAATAGTGATAAAGTATTGTTACCGTGTATTTTAATCACCCTGTAAGGGCCTTTCCATACAGGTGATAAGGCTTTTCTTGATCTCAGGTGATTTTTGAGATATACGTAATCTCCGGTTTGGTAATATGCAGGGCGACTACGCGAGTCATAGTATGTTTTAGATATGCCCTTGGATTTCTGGATATGTTCTACTGCTTTTTGACGAGAGTATTTTAATCGATTTTGGAGCATCCGGACGTATTCGGGATATGTCGTTCCGGTCGGTTCTTGGAAGACTGAATTTGGTATGAAAGGTTTATTTCCAAACATTAACTCGTATGGTGTAAAATGAGTTGTTGAATGTACGGCCGTATTATATGCTAACATCGCGGTGTAAACATAGCGGGGCCAGTTATCTTGGCCTTCGTTCACATACGACTTGAGATACTCCTTGAGGGTAGAGTGACTCCTCTCAAGTGCACCCTGGGTCTGGGGATGGTAGGGCGATGACCATAACTGTTTGATCTTAAGGAAATTGCAAGTTCTTTGGAATAATTCGGAAGTAAAATTTGTGCCTTGGTCAGTTAGGATAATTTTTGGGATACCGAAAATGGAAATGAAGTGAAGGAGGCATTCGCTGGTTTCTTCGGCGGTTGTACTTCGGATGGGATATGCAGTGGAGAATTTCGTTAGATCATCTTGGACGGTTAGGATGTACTTCAGTTTTGCAGGACCTGCTTCTGGCAATGGACCGACGATGTCAAGGGATATGCGTTGACATGGTGCAGTTGACGTACTAGTGATCTGCATCGGGGCTCTATTAATTTTCCTCAACGCTTTATTTTCTTGACACTGTTTACATTGTTTAACATAGGCTTCAATGTCGCTACGCATACCTTTCCAATAATAACTCTCCTTAATCCGGTTGAACATACGATTTGAGCCGAGGTGTCCGGCAATTGGGATATCATGATTGTCGAATAAGATTTTCTTAATCTCCGTTGGAGACGGGTAGGTTACATTATTATGATATATATTAATTTTGATCTCTGTATTATGGAATAGATAATTTAACATATTATAAATTTTAACAAACGAATGTTTTTCAAATGGATTTTTGAAATCTGTTATTCCTATGTCCTTTGTATTATCATTTATTAATAATTCATTGCGGATGCGTTTAAGGGTCTCGAATATTTCGGGATATGAAGCTTCATCAAAATGGTGAACTTTAATGAAAATTAAATAAAAAGTTTTATTATTTGAGTCAATTTTACAGAAGGAGTGTAATTCTTTTTCGATGTTAGGTATATTGCTGCCAGTCGGCAAATTACCTATGATTTCTTGAACATAAGGGTTGGATTCGTCGAGATCGATTGAGGTAGGTATTAAGAGTGTTTTCGATTGGCCTTTTAATAGGTTTTGATTATGCTCTTCTATCTGTACATTATAATGTTTATTAGGATCTGACATAGATTTGAGGAAAACGGAGTAGTCGTCAGTCATTATAGCGTTTTCTATTGGTGAGTCTGAGTCTCGAGGTTGTTCTACTGGGGATCGAGAAACTGGGTTTTCTGTATTTACATCAGAAGGTGTAGAAGAGTTAGTGTTTGTGGAGATTTTCCTAGGGATACAAGAAGGTGAACTTCCTATTAATGAGCTGTCCGTCGTGGGGTGTTGTCGAACGGATGAGGATGGATTTTCATCGTTAAGTTTGCCAGGGGCTTTGTTTTCTGATGAACTATTCTTTCGAGCATTAATATCATCAAGATCAAGAAATGTAGGAGAGGAACCAGCATGGACGTCGAGGTCATTCAGTGTTAACGGACTAAAGGCGTGTTCTTCAGCGGATAAAGGATTTGGGGATAAGTTGGTTATTTCATCTGGATTAAATGAAGGTGGTGGTATTAGTAAGTCCATCAAATTTTCATCTAACCTCATACTCTGTCGATCTTCAATAATTTGATTTGATTCAGGAAGGTTTACAGGCTGGATGGGATTTACCGGAAAACGGGATAATGCATCGGCATTTGTATTGAGCTTTCCCTTTTTATATTTAATATCGTACTCAAATTCTTCTAGGATAAGTCTCCAGCGTACAAGCCTAGAACCAGGATCTTTACATCTAAATAGCCATTCTAAAGGCTTATGGTCTGTTATGACAGTAAAATGATGACCGTAGATGTATGGTCTAAAGATTTTTGTTCCAAAAATTACTGCGAGACACTCTTTTTCCGTCACGGTATAGTTGCATTCCGCTTTGTTGAGGGTTCTAGATGCAAACGCGATAGGACGGTCTTTTCCGATCTGTCCTTGGGATAGGATGGCGGAAATGGCATAATTTGAAGCGTCGCAGGTAAGCAGGAATGGTTGTGAAAAGTCAGGATACGCTAGGATAGGAGCTGATATGAGTTTGGATTTTAGGGTTTCGAAGGATAACTGTTGTTCATTTTGCCAGTTGAAGGCAGTGTCCTTTTTAAGAAGGGATGTCAGGGGTTTGGCTAACTTAGAGAAATCGGGGATAAAACGTCTATAGTAAGAGACAAGTCCTAGAAAGGATTTTATATCCTTCGGTGACTTCGGTGTGGGGAATTTTGCCACGGCTTGAATCTTATCAGGGTTCGGTTTTACTCCTTCTTCGTTGATAATATGACCTAGATACCCTACTTCTTTCCGGAGAAATTCGCATTTTTCCGGTTGCAACTTTAAGTTATAGTTCCTGATTCTCTCAAATACCTTACTGAGGTTATTGATGTGTGATTTAAGATCATAGCTATATATAACAATATCATCGAGATAAACGAAACACCTATTACCTTGTAGGCCAGAAAGACAATTGTTCATGAGTTTTTGGAATGTTGTAGGTGCATTTTTAAGGCCAAATGGCATTCTGTTAAATTGGAAATGACCTTGCGGCACTGAGAAAGCCGTCTTTGGTGCATCTAAGGGATCAATTAGAATTTGGTGAAAGCCTGAAGTAAGGTCGAGGGTACTGAAGTATCTGCTATTACCTAGTTGATCTAGTATTTCGGATATCTGTGGGATAGGATATGTCTCCCCAACAGTGATGTTATTTAGGTTTCTATAATCGATTACAATTCTCCAAGTTCGTTCCCCTTGTGAGTTTAGTTTTTTAGGCACGATCCATATGGGTGAGCTCCAAGGTGAGGACGATGGTTCAATTATTTTATCTTGAAGCATTTTGGTTATTTGTTTTTCCACTTCTTTCTTGTGGCATTCGGGGAAACGATAGGATTTTGTGTGGACAGGGATATCAGTAGTGGTTTTAATTTGATGTTTTAGGGCGGAAGTATAAGTTAATGCTTCTTCAGGTAAATGAAATATATCGGAATACTTACTGCAGAGTTCTGTTAAATTTGTTAGTTCTTCGACATTGAGGTGTTCAGTTCGTAATGAATTTATAACCTTTTGGGTGCGGTTATATGTATGTTCTACAGGCCCTTGGGTTAATATTGTGGCACAAGTGTGTAGTGGTTCGACTGTTAATTTTAGATTGGCATTAACATTTATTGGGTGGTCGGATGTATTCGCAACTGTGATGTTAATTTTGTTATTTTCTTTTACTTTTACAATACAATTAGCTATTAATAAGGATTCGGATAAGTGTTGATCTGTTATAATCCCTTCTTTTATTTCGGGGTTTTTGACTGTGCATTCGATTACGGTTTCAGTTCGGGGTGGTATGATATAAATTGGATCGAAGAAATGAAGATTCACACTGAATTTTTTAAAGTGAAGGGTATCGTTGTTGTAATCAATACTACATCCGAAAGTAGTAAGAAAGTCGGACCCTATTATCCCATCATAAGGCAAGTTGATATCCTTAATAACGTGAAATTTATAGCTAATGTGTTTCTTTACATCGAATTGTAGATTTAATTTAAAATGACCAAGTGTTGGTGTGGTATCATTTCCAGGGTCTATACCCTTAAGTTGGACAACTTCCTTCGTGAGTGACGGATACTTAAGTATACATGTTTCCTTTAATAGGCATATGGCTGAACCGGAATCAATTAAAAGGGTTATAGGGATATCCGAAATTTGTGTATGAACTAGGATGTGTGGTAATAATTTTTTCGTGGTATCGATATTAATTTCATATATGGATGTTGGATTCTTATTTTCTTTATTTATTTGAATAGGAATTTCGGTTTTGGATATTTGAGCGTTTCCGATTTGGGGCTGGTTACCCTGTTGTGTAACGACTTTATTTTTTTGAAATTCGTGCGTTTCCGTTTTGGGGCTGGTTACCCTGTTGTGTAACGACTCTATTTTGGATATTTGTGCGTTTCCGATTTGGGGCTGGTTACCCTGTTGTGTAACGACATTATTTTTTTGATATTTGTGCGTTTCCGATTTGGGGCTGGTTACCCTGTTGTGTAACGACTTTATTTTGGATATTTGTGCGTTTCCGATTTGGGGCTGGTTACCCTGTTGTGTAACGACTTTATTTTTTTGATATTTGTGCGTTTCCGATTTGGGGCTGGTTACCCTGTTGTGTAACGACTTTATTTTGGATATTTGTGCGTTTCCGATTTGGGGCTGGTTACCCTGTTGTGTAACGACTTTAATGGTGTCTGGCCTTAGCCGTCTCGTGCGACACCTTAACGGGACGTCTATTCGTTTAAAGCTTCGGGATATTTTACATTTTCATCTACTATTTCCTCTACGTAGTTTACGTTTCTAAAGTTATAATTAGGATTCGATCCTGAAGGTCTATTTTGTGGTTGCACATTATAGCGGTTATTGTAGAATTCTCGCTTCTTGCAATCTTGTATATCGTGTCCTATCGTTTTGCAATACCTACAGAATGCATTTTGAATTTGACCTCGTGGATGAGGAGTAGGCATGCGTTGTTGGATAGCAGGAAAACGCGGTGAAGGATATCTGGGTTGATGGAATCTCGGAGGTGGTCGCCTAACGTTGTTAGTATTTGTTCTTGGGTCAGGTTGAGGGATAAATCTTTTATATAGCATTAGTTGGATTCTTTCTTCGGAAATAGCGAGACTTATAGCTGTATTTAAGTTTTTGGGGCTACGACACCTTACTATATTTGACAATTGTGGATGTAGACCCATCAAAAAGTGGTGTAATGCAAGGTCTTCCATCGCTGCGGTGCGTCCTACGATTTCCGCTTTTTTATTGTTACATGCTAGGGAGACCTCTGTTAGCAGTTGTGATAAACACGATTCTACTCTGAGTGCGAATTGACTGACGTTTTCTTGCGGGCCTTGTTTACTCTCTTGAAGCTCGGCTAGTAGATGAGTATAATGTTTTTGTTCCGAGAATTGTGTTCTCAAGAATTCTCTGAGTTGGTCCCAGGATGTAAAGTCCTTGACCGAGCAAGCAAGCTCCGCTTTACCTTGGAGTTGACTTAGAATATATTTAAACAGTATAGGTTTTTGTGGTTCCGTAGCCAAATCATGGGCGTTAGTGCAATTTATTAAGAACGAGTTTAGTGTTTCACGACAACCGTCATAGGATTTGATAAATTTAAATAATGTGTTTAACTCCATATTAATATGTTGTACAGAAGTTGACCTTGTCACCCTAGGTGACTTTACCGGTTCGGGGGATGGAGGTAATTCTGGGATGTCTAAGTGTAATTTATTGTCTTCGGACTTTGATATTGTGGCACCCTTAACCATTACGATGAAACAATTTGATGTTTTGATATTTAAAGAAATTAATAAACAGTGTCATCAAGATCTATTAACTACAATTAAAGTTATTTTAATTTAAATTCGGACATAGACATAAAATATAAAATGGTTTTATTTTCTATCAAGGATCCCTAACTTAATTATTAATTTGCAATGACCAGAGACTTACAGGTTTAAGATAACGCAGCTCAAAACTGCAACTCGGTGCATTCCGGACCGATAAGGCGACGTCTGGACGTGGATGTCGTATTTCGATGATTTTTATTTGCAGATGGATATTCAAATTTCTGCACTAAAGTTTGGGCGTTCTTGGATTTGGATGTTGAGATTGTGGTCTTCTTCTTTGAATTAGATTTTCTTCTTCGAGTGGATTTGATGAACTGTTAGCACTTGAAGTTTTGTTCACTTTTCACCGGGCACGGCACAGTTTATAAAGTTTCAGTTTTTATGTTTTTGGGATGCGCGAACTGGCGATTTTCGGATCCCACCGCTGCCACCAATCTGTTATGGGAATTCTCTCTGAGGTCGTTTTAAAAAAGGAAAATTCTTAGGACACAACTATTTATTGGATATTGAATAATATGGATAATGACACTCAGAGTAATCCCGGCAGCCGCACCCGTACTCTAACACAGTTCACTGACTACTGACCGTTCTCCGGTCTCCTATCAAGTCTCTACCTCGGACCGTCTAGTCAGCGGTTCGAGGGTGTCAGCAGTTTAGGGTTCGGTAGGGATATATAACAGGACGTTTCAACGATTAAGTACTACGAGTTTTCGTCATCATAGACGAAAAGGTCCCTCTTCGTCATTTTAATATATAAATATTGTGTAAGTTTAAAATATTTATTAAATTATTTTAAATGTTTTAAAATATTTAATTCGAAATATTTAATAGAATGGTTACAGTATTACTTTATATAAAATTACATCGTTAGCAAAATATTACCAAATAAAAAATAATGCAATACGATAACGCTCTTATCATACCCGCCGCTGACTTAACCCTGAACCGGCTCACGTAGCAGCCAAACATCGTCACACACATCCTGGTGCATATGCCTGATCCACTTTGTCATGTTGCACCCAACCAGTTCCAATGCTGGCAGTTACTAGCTAAGATCTTTCAGCCAACAGTAATACCCAACTATTCAAGTCAACAGACAACTGAAGGTCAAAATGAAGCGGGATTTTAGGAAAAGAGTATGTTATAAAAAAACAAACTAGTGTTTCTAATAATTTAAACTAAATAAAACTATTTTTTGACAAATTTTATCTTATTATGCTACTAGCCGTACTCGCCCGCTTCGCTGCGCATTTAAAATGAACATTATTATTTATTGTCATTATTATTAGAGAGCCCAACACTCATATAAATATTAGCCTATCCATTAAGTACATGTATTTTCTACATGGATACGAAGTTTCAAGTCAATCGCATGCATGGTTCAGTAGTTATAACGGAATATCCGTAAAAACCACTGTAGATTTATTTATACTTAATCTGGCCATAAATAGTTACAAAGGAAAACAAAAAAAATTCTATGGCAAATAACATTTATTCCTTTTACAGTGTGTTAGCTTAATACATAAATATAAAACAATTTAAAGTATAAAAAGCTTATTCGAAATGGTCTCCATCGGCTGCAATACAGTCCTTTAAACGTTGAGGCCAGTTATCAATAGAAGCACGCACTCTTTCCATGGGAAAAAATTTCAGTCAATCGTACGGATTGTTTTAGGGACTCCAAATTATCATGGCGTTTAGAACAAGCCTCTCTCTAAAACTGACCATAAATCATAATTCAGCGTTTTAAGATCGGGACTAGTCTTCAGCTCTGATGAAGCCCGAAACGTTCGTTTCCAACCAAGATTGCGTAGACCGAGCTTTATGACCTGGCGCCGAGTCTTGCTGGAAGGACCATTCTTGATTAATGAACATGGTGTTGTTAAGGGGCTTCGCTGCCTTCTCAAGAATGGTATCTTGATACACTTGTGCCGATGTTTTGATACCTTTTTCACAAAAGTATGGCTCAGTCACTCCTTCATAGCTAATACCCCACCAAACCATCACTGAAGTCGGATAGTGCCCACGTTGCACTTAGTCGACTAATTGGGAAGCTTCCTTAGAGCTTTGAGCATAAATACGGTCATTTTGTTTGTTAAAATGTTGCTCAATTGTAAAAAAATTCTCATCCGTAAACAAAATTTTTCTATGACCTCCCTTTGCGTACCGCTTCAGTAGTTGTTTCGATTTTACCACCCTATTCTCTTTTAAATTATCAGTTAAGAAATGACCAGTACGTCTCTTATAGGCCGCAAGTCCTAAGCCATCTTTTAAAATACGCGATCTGGTTCTAGGTGCTATCTTCATCTCCCGAGATAAAATCTTTTGCTTTCGGACAGGATTTCTTCGAATTTTTTCCCTTACTGCTTTGACCACCTTTTTCGTACGAACACTACGTGGACGGCCAGATCTTTTTCTGTCACAAACAAAGGAGGTCTCATTGCACCTATTAATAGCCCAGTACACAAACATTTTATTAATACCAAGCGTATGCAGAGTTTTAAAAACTGCATTTGGCTCCATACTTACTTTGTGTAATGCAATCACAGCGATTCGGTTCTCTTTATCACCCCACTCCATTTTAATATCGCAAAATATTGTACAGTATTTATGGCCAGACTAAGTATATTAGTATAGATATATAAGTAGATTACTTCAATAACTACTTTCACACTTACAGAAAAAAACTACTATCATTTCTGTGCTTCAATATTTCTGTCGATACTGTAATGATCTTAGTCATTCGTCGTGTTTGCGCGTTCGTAGTTTTGTTTCATAAAATATTTAGCTTTTCTTTGCATATAGCCCTACCTCGGAAGAGTGAATTCCATGGACTCTTATGGAACAGTTCGGATACTAGTATAACTATACGGAGTAGTTCCGATTAAAGCTTCTTTACCGTAGTCGACAATAGCGACTTCAGTTTGTGTCAAGAAGCGAACAGAGCGCAATGTACTCAAATGTCGTTTCAACGCTAATGGAAAATGTTTTAAAGTCGTTGCGCGAACGTGCTTCGTTCTGAATACACATTGTATCATGCAAGAGACGGGTAATAAACAGTAGTGAATCTAGAATTGTGAATTTTTCTAGAATCTAGAAGCTAGGATCGAAGTCATTAATATTGTATTATTTTCTCTTGATGAAAGACACCTTTCGTCTATGCTAGATTCTTGCAGAAACGAGATATTTATTGTCTGTTATTTGTCCTGTCATGTTTCCTTTATCGACAATACATTTTCTTAATAGGTTGAGTTTTTTAGTAATATTTACCCGAAATGTAAACAATCGAGTCTTTGAACTACGTTGGTGTTGCATCTTGAGAGGTCTTGGGTACAGTTAACTGCTATAACGTTAAACTAAGGGTATCTCCGAGTCTCTTCCACCTCGTGAAGCAATGTGCCCGCGGGCTTAGTAGGACCGGTGTGATGGACCTCCAATGCCCAAATAGAACAAGCGTAAATTAACATAATAATATACACAAATTCACTAAACCAAACATTTATCTCCACCTTATCCCACAAACTATTCTCTTCTATCCGCGGTCATCTCAACACTCACTCCTCTCTCTCATATCGTAACTCACACACACATTCCATGTCTTCTTCGGTTGCCCTCTTCCCCCTCTACCTTGCACTACCATTTCCATACACCTAGTCATATGCGTGTCCTCTCTACGCTTCCTAAACTATTAACATTAACGAAACTACACATAAATGAAGGAAAAAAAAATTTTTTTTTTTTTTTTTTTAAATTAAAATATTTATGATGGCTTCCATTGATACCTCAACATTAGGTTGATTTAAATTTTATTACATTTACTATTATATAATAAGTAATCTTTGGGAAAAAGGCTGGCAACTTCGTTTATTTCAAAATAATAATAAAACAGTAAGAAACTAAAATGAGGCTGCGAATTAGTTTAAAGTCCCGTTCGCGGTATATTTCTTTTTTCCTTGCCGAAGTCGTCGCTTGCAACGAAGGACTCGACGAGTAAATTAACCCGTAGACACAGCCCACCGAGTTTCTCGCCGGATCTTCTCGGTGGGTCGCGTTTCCGATACGGCGGTAAATTCTGCGAAGCACTGCCCTTGCTAGTGCAAGCAAAACTAGAAGAGCACAGAACTCAGACTATGTACTTATTTGTCTATGTGGATTAATTTATCCCAAACAGACTTACGGCAGAATCGAACTTCGACGCTGTGGTATGCGCTATACATAACTCTTAATAGTAATCACTCAAAGTCCCTAACTATAATACTGCACTAGCAGAGCGAAACGTGAGAGTCAATTGTCACAACAATTCTTCGAAGACGGAGATTATCGTGAAGTCATAATAATATACTGTTACAGATCACTGGAATGTGCTAGACTGCACTTTAGAGATTAATGTATTTTATTTTAGACAAGGAATATAAATTGTCATAATTTTTCTGGTAATTTTTAAGTCACATTACAAGTTTACATTAGATTATGAATCTGACTGAGATAGAATGAGTTTATAACCTCTCGTCCAAAGTTATAGACGGAGTTATTAGCGGCAATTGAAAAGGTTCTAAAGCCGTGTGTTGATGTGTTTAATCACAAAACTGCTCAGAAGTAATTTTTTTAGAATATATGTATAACTTTTTTATTTTTATTTTTTATTGCTTAGTTGGGTGGACGAGCTCACAGCCCACCTGGTGTTACTGGAGCCCATAGACATCTACGAGGCAAATGGGCCACCCACCTAGAGATATAAGTTCTAAGGTCTCAGTATAGTTACGACGGCTACCCCACCCTTCAAACCGAAACGCATTACTGTTTCACGGTTGAAATAGGCAGGGTGGTGGTACCTATCCGTGCGGACTCACAAGAGGTCCTACCACCAGTAATAAATTCATAAACATACCAACGTTAATGTTTAAATGGGCTTTCAATCAAAAGACGCATTTAACTCTAAAAATTTAACTCTTGGTGATCTCGTCGTTTATCTCTCATATAACATCAAGCAAACTTATTGACGGTAAATAATTACGAAATTTAAACCCACTCACACTGCTCCCATCGAGTCAAAACATCGATACTTAGATACCGTATATAATTAGAATATTACTGCTTCGTTTCTGTATAAAATGTAAATTTTTTATGATACATTTTAGAAACGAAGCTGTATCTCAACAAAGCTTATATCTAACGAGCGCGAATGAAATGAATAATTAAAAAAAGTATATTTTTGTATTTTATCTTTGAACTGAACGGGTTACATAGTAGTTAGTGCTCCTGACTGGTAGGCTGAAAGGTCGTGGGTTCCCATTAGGGAATTTCCCACTTAAGGTAAATATTCATGTGACTCGATTTTTAATATTCACATAACGTGCATTAATTCCAACGTATATTTAACGTTGGCTTGCCTGGTAGCCTTCTTTAGTTTTAGATTATTCGTATATCGTCTACAATATGTATCCGGAAAAAACGCAACTAAAACTTTAGCGATAGGCAGCGGCTTGGCTCTGCCCCTGGCATTACTGAAGTCCATGGGCGACGGTAACCACTCACCATCAGGTGGGCCGTATGCTCGGCTGCCTACAAGGGCAATAAAAAAAAAAACTTTGTATGCAAAACACTGAAGCATAGGGATAAAAGCAATTTCTTAAAAACAACAAAACCATACGGTCGCGTTGATATTTGATCCGT